GGGGCTGTTTGCTTGTTTGTTTGGGGTTTTTTGGGTTTTTTTTCCGCAAACGAACAGCGTTTCAGATGACGGACGACTCACTGAAGACATGATTTAAACTGGGACTACTAAAAAGCGTGTTCTGTTTCATGTTTCAAATTTTAAAAATGAATGTTGATTGTATAAAAAGAGCATGAATTTGCTACGAATGCTGAAATATTTAATTATGACTGCATTTTCACGAGTTTCTATTTCATAATTGTCACTCCTTGGCAGACATGTCGTTTTTATTCTTTGATTAATTGGCATCAGTCTATCAACTATCTATCTATCTCCTTCCAAGAACACTCCGTGTAAGAACCCATGTTTACTGTATAACGGCATGTTTACCCCAGTAATTTGCTTGTTTCAAAACCTGTCTATAAAAGAAATTCGCCTAAAACTGCCTAGACCTCAGACAATATACTTCTCAGTGCTGTTTTACAATACATTTACTTTGCGTGAGTAAATTGAATGGAGAGGAATTGGCGGGGACAAGTCGGACAATGAAATCTACATCTACATCGAGCTTACTACACGTGTACTCTTATACCCAAAGAATATTGTCCGTCGGATTCATCTAATTGATTTGGGGCCATCCAGAATTTCCCTTCGAGAGGGGCAAAATCTACCATTTTGGGGCATAATATGCATTGTATCATCGGTAAAGCTAACAATCCACTTAAGTTAGTTTGGGTAGGCCTACTGTTTACACCATAGACAAAAACGTAGGTTTTGTTGTGTAGCTCTTGTCTGGAATCATAAAAAGTAAGAACATTGTAAGCCTTGACCATTGTATTAAACTGCATTTTGGTGATGTTGAAAGGTGCATCTATGATTGAGCTTTGGAAGGGTATAAAAATCGAAAATTCTCTAAATTTGGACTTAGATCTCTTGCAACAGCAACGGTATAATCTAAAAATAAAACATAGTACATAAATATTGGTATTTGTTTGTGTGTGTAGAATATATATAGATACGCTAATTAATCATATATGAATGTGGATAAGAAGAAACACTAATTGTTATTTTTGTTGTTGCATGGATGTACTACCAGTTGCTGGAGCAGACGTTGTTGGTTTGGCGTGTGAAGAATGGACGGTGCTGGTGGAGCTGGTGGTGACCGCCATGGTGGTTGTGCTGTCCGCCATTTTGGTTGTGGTTTCCGCCATGTTGGTTGTTGTAGAGGTCGTGAGTTCACAGTAGCAGACGACACAGCCGGTAGGGTCAACCCCGAGACAAGCAGAGGAGCAAGGATCGTCGACCGGAGGGCAGGACGAGGTGGTGACCAGTGGAAGACTGGACGTGGCTGGGTTGTCGGGCTGTTTAGGGGCTGGAAGAAATACTTATGATTGAGATGTTGGTGGTTTTACATCTCCATTGACACAATTTAGTTAAGTGTAGCAAGAGTTTTACGGCGCTCGCAACTACATAATAATGTCATAAGAGGGCGCTTGACATAATTTAGACCTTGAGATAATAATTTGGGAGGCAGAGTTTGATCCTTAATGTCAGGACCAATCTTCGCAGAGAGGGACACATCATCCCAGAAGAAGGACCTTTATCGACACATGTGAAAGAATGTTTTTACGTTGTTATATTTAAGTGTGGGGAGTGAAAGGGGGTGGGGGGGGGGGTGCACAGTCAAAGAGCTAAACCACTGTGCTACAGAATGCAGGACTGTACTGCCAAGTGTAGTGGACATGGCAATAATCCCAAATGCAAAACATGCATACACACAAACAAACGCACACAAACACACGCACACACACACACACACACACACACACACACAAACACACACACACACACACACACACAAACATGCGCGTGCGCACACATTAGCACCTTTACCCCCCCCCCCCCCCCCACACACACAATAAATGTATAATATATTTTTTATGTATATTATATATGTAAATAAAAGAAACAACTGACCATCACAGGTACACACAGGACAGCCTAAAGCGTCCACCAGCGTGCACTGAGCCGGGCAGGAACCAGGGAATGGGGAACAGCCGTTGTTGTTATCATTGTTTTTGATGTTGTTGTTGCTGCTGCTGCTGCTGCTGCTGCTGCTTCCAGCGTTGCCATGTGGGGCTGTTGGTCCTTTCCCTCCCGACGAGCTCCCGTTCAAGTTATCGTCCTTGTTATCACCCGCACCGCTATCGCCTACATCCGTCCTACCAACGCCATCACCATCACCAGCATCCACCATCTGGTTGCTCAAACCGTCACTAGTTCTGCCAGTGGTGACGTCTCTGCCCTGTAAGGTGTCCGTACTAACAACGGTGTATTCGTAGGTCGTAGTGATTTCGCCTGAAAGAGGAAGTTTTGAACTCACTGAGAGGCTGGTTGGCTGAGGTTCTATAAGTGTGGTTTGCTCCATTTTTCCTGTCCGATGTTTATTGTCGTTATCTTTCTTCTCCCCCTTTTTCGTTCTTTTTTTGCGTGCTGCTCTCTAGTAACACCTCTAATTTTCTGTACTTATCTGACCTAATTGTGTTGCAAATGCCGTACAACCCTTACTGAAACCAAATATGAGTTCAAGAAGCAATTCCTTAAGAAATCTTAGCTGATTTAAGCTGTGTGTTTTACATCCCCCCCCCCCCCATGAGCAACAAGAAATATCATTTAAGAGGTGATCTGCTTTGACCATGCCTGCTAGGGCCAATCCTGGTTCAGAGCGATACAATGACTCAGTAGACATAATTATGGAGATACCTTGATTAAAGCAAAACAACTTTAAACGCAAAACAAAACAGAACAAACTTATAAGAACTCACCCCTTTCACTAAAAAAGACATCTTCTCCAATCTGGAAACGAACTCGCCTTTTGTGTACAATAACGAAAATGATACCATCACAATTATTTCTCATCTCTAAGGGAATTTTACGCAATGAGCCGAAGGGCAAAACGAGAGTCTAAAAATTCGAACTTCTCACCGAGACCACAATCCTCTCGACAGACGGGACATCCGGATGGGGTCAAGGACGAGCACTCCGCTGAGCACGTAGCTGGGAAAGGGAGACAACCGCCTAGGTTGAGAGCTCGGGCCGGGGACATGACGCTACCCTGGTCCACCTGGCTGGGTCGGCTGCCCAGGCACTGGTCGTCTGCCGGGATAAACCACGTGATAAATTATTGGTGATAGTGCCAGTCAAAATCCTGCCCAAGTTGGAAACATCACACAGAAGCTAATAATATTTAATGTTCGGTTCTCTTCAAATTCTGACATTAGTGGGAAATATCTCTAATCAAATTAATATCTGGAACTGTTACATTTTCCCTACAATCTAAATTTTAAAATGCAGTCAATAAGACGTTACCGTAGAATTATAATTTTTAGTTCTATCTGCTTAGTACCTAGTTTTAAGAAATCTGACATTAAACATGTTTGAGTTTCACAACATGCCAATCTTTTTCGAAGGCAAGTCTTTGAATATCTTGATAACGACTCCGAATAATCTTACTATTTTAATAGAGCGTTTGGTTTCTGACATTATTGTTTTGATAACTCAAAACTGCCAAAATTGCCAAATAGCACTTAATAATTTTATGGTAGCAAATTTTGTGATAGAATCAATTAAAATCTGACATAAAGCTGGCATTCCATATGCCCGAAAAACCGATGTAAATTTCGGATGCGAATTTCGTGTACAAAATTCGGGTGTGATGAAAAAAGAGCCCTCCTTCCATATACCCGAAATTCATGATATCCGCCATTTCTGACAGAAATCACGGCACCAGTTCAGTCAGAGCAAGTACTCGACGTTGAAAACGAGATAATTTTGCTGTTAGAATTCCTGTTCCTACGAAAGCAGGCTTTAAATTGCTTCGCCCAGACTTGATGATGGTCCTTCCTTCATAAGCTTTACTTTCTTGGGTCGTTTTCTTTTCGAAGCTTCGGTCCTATCACCGACAGTGCTGGCTGATGTGGCTGCGTCACAGACAGCAATCTAAAGTTATAATTAATGTATGTGAGAAGTTATATTCAAGTGCATTTAAGGAGTGGGGGGGGGGGGGGGGAAATGAAATGCTATTTTTGTTATTACTGGATTTAAACGATAAATGATAGCAAAGATAGATTACATAGACTCCCAAAAGTTTCCAACAAACTTTAAAAAAAAAGTGGTTGCCATGGAAATGGCAGCCGCCTTGAAAATAAACACCTCTTTTCAGTCTTAGTTTTAAAACTTCTCTCTCGAACAAAGGAAATCAACATTTCGACGTTTTCCCACTTCCCTAGTGCTTTCATGCAGCTTCGTTCCTTTGAAGTAGATTTGGGGGGAAATGAGACCCGCCCACTTCTCGAAGAACTCGGGTGCCGAAGAAAAAAGTTTCGCTCCCTCGTGCGAAACAAAATCTTCGCATGCGAATTTCGGACTCGGCCATGCAAAATTCCGGTATGGATTTACGCAATGACAAAAAGGTTGGTGCGAAAAAAATAGTTCGCACGCAGAATTCGCACCCGAAGTTCGCATCGTTTTTTCGGGCATATGGAATGTCAGCTTTAGTCAGAAATATCACAAATCAAGTTTATAAGAAAACTAGCTGAGCACCCAGCTTTGCTCGGGGTCGACGCCTTGGCGTCACTGCTCCTACTGGTCTACGTCGCAGAGTCATTTTACATCTAGATCTACATGTGTACCTTGCTGTCTATCACTTCACAGTCGTACCTGGCTTCTAGATCTATATTGCTTTAGTTTAAGTCTGCCTTGATCAACTCCTTTCTAGATCTACATTGCTTTAGTGTATTGCTGTCTAGCCCTTCACAATCACAAAATACGGATTTCGCCTTACACCATCACAAAAAAGCACTAAGAAAATAATAATCCATGAAAGGGCTGCTACACTGATAAAGGAACACACCGACATCTTCAAAATCAGAGAGGCGGAGTCTATTGCTTGTTCGCGTTCCTCTGACTGCGTTAAAAAAAATTATAGCTGATTGACAAATTAACCTAGGCCCACGAAACTTTGCATGACACTTCTACAGACTATTCGAAAAGTGAGCGTGCAAATTCATATGCACATTTCAGATTATGACATACGAATTATGGCAATGCAACATGGCTTGAACTTGAAGATCAGAAATGATCCCAGGCTCAAGTCCTTGGAAAAGACTGTGTCTGCGCTCTGAGGCTGCATCACTTTCCATGAAATAAACTTACAGAAATGAATGCTCAATTTGGGTGGCAGGAAGGAGAGAGCCAATGCGATGATATACTTGACCCTGCACGCGAAACTGTGGATTCCATCCATTGGGGGTTGCATCGGTATAGCCCATGGATGTGAGCTGAAAGCAATTGTTGTACAGCCTGATTTTCTCCAGAAAGTGAGTCAACAGTGTCGACACACCAGACAGAAGGATTTGCAGTTCAGGAGGTGGTTTTGGAAATGGATGCAGATCAACTTTGCCATTGCTACAGCATATACCTTGTATTTCATATGAAAATCTTATGGCCAGGCAGTGTGTACACTGTGTCGTCAGTTCCCTGATGTAGCAACCGTACTGAAAGGACTTGACAATGTAGAGGAGGAATGCTTTTGGGAGATTTAGATCTAGAGGGTCCCCATCATTTTGTTGTTGATCTAGACCACCTTGACCTTTGCGAGCTCGAGGGGTTCCAACTGCAGAACTTCGTTTTCTTTTCGGCATGGTCAGGCGCTATCTAGGTCTAGATCTAGATTCTTATCTAAGATCTATTGACGTTGTTCCCAGCAGCAAGAAAAAGAATTTGACAAAGGAGTCCAGAAAAAACGATGATGGACATCAAACGAAAGGATCACAGTCGAATTTAGCACCAAGTAAAAAAATAAAACATGAGGCTAGATCTATATGGGTCGCACACTTAAAATAGGCCCCTAGTGCTTAGTATTGCGCGACAATGCGCTATAGTATCGATCGGAAGTACGACTTGCAATAAACAAACCTAGCGGATTTTATAAAATTACAGAGACAGAAGCGTGGGCCTACAAAAGCGATCGGCGAAATAGCTGGGCCCCCTTTCGATGAAAGGAATGATCGGCGGTGCCTATACGTTCTTATACTAACCGTTCTCTGACCGTCTAGGCCGGTGCTTTAATATCAAAGAAAAGTCATTGGCCTACTATATTTACACTCTAATGGAATGGGGAAATAAATCTTGAGAGATGCAAAAAATTATATAGTCTAGATCTATACTCTCAAAACAAAACGCGCCTCGGGAAATATCACTTCCGGATTTTCTAAAATTACAGAGACAGAAGTGTCGGCCTACAAAAGCGATCGGCGAAATAAATAAATTTTGCTTTTTGCAGCAAAACTGTCTCAAAACTGAAAAAACCAAGGGCGCCTTGCTCGGGAGAATATTTTAAAGAATTTTTTGGAGAAAACCGCGTGTCGATCGATGCAGCCGTTAAAAAGCCTTTTGAATAGCAAAATTTGGCCACCACAAATAGATAATAGATATCACATTTATCCTACAATTTGAATTTTTAAAAGCAGAAGCTTGGCGAAAGTATGGAAACTTAATTTCGAAAGGTGCAGACATATTATGGATGTGAGAAAACTGTCTCTAAAGTTGAGCAATGTCTTACGTACAAGTACATGTATGCGCAAGCCTCGACGTAAATCAAAATGAAATAACTAGAGAAGTACAGTTGTTTATTTGTTGAACAGAATGAAGCCAAAAATATTGGATTTCCAAGAGATAAGGCAGTAATCCCCTAGTGAAGGTAGATTGTTTCATTTCGACCCTTCGGAAAAGCCCAGTGCAACGTGTGTCTGATAAGATTGGCACTGAAACATTTGAACGTTGAATCTTTCATTTTGAAAATATGGATAGCGGCAGCTATGAGTTTTACTGCTGGCTTGAAAGAGAATTAGTGCAAATGGATAACGGATAATAAATTCAAAACGCCACCCTACCTACTCCACTTTTTTATGAATCAATTATCTGTCTGTCTGTCTGTCTGTCTGTCTGTCTGTCTGTCTGTCTGTCTTTCTCTCTTTCTTTCTCTGTTATCTATCTCTCTCTTTTTCTCTCTCAAACACACACACACACACAT